AAATAAAGTGAACCACTTACCCAGTTCTGGCAAACTCTGCCCAGTATTGCATCATCTTACGGCTCAGTCTGGCTTCAGCCTCTGTGTACGTTTGATTGACAGGAAGCACGGATTCAGGGGTCCCAAAAACATAAGAAAGCTCAGCACCGTGGGATGCCCCAATCCATTCAGGCCAGACTGACCCTGAAGGGCGATGTGCAAATAAATAGGCATATACAGGACTCCCCGTTTTCCTGATATTTCTTGCAGCTTCAATCAATGGGCATGCAAAGATCCAATCTGTACAGAAGTGGGACAGAGCAGAGCGGTATTTGGCTGGGCCCTGATTTCCTTCACTGTACCTCAGGGCAATCGTCTGAACAAAGTCTTGAGTTGCATTTGGCAGCAACAATCTTATCCCTTTCAGAAGCTGTTCCTGATTGATGAGATTGTGGGTGATGTTAGAGAAAACATAAGAGACAAATGAGGCTCCTTCATCAGAGGTTTTTCCTATGAGGACGGGTTTGACTTGAATTTGCCCCTCCTCCATCAGCTTCTCTGGATCACCAAGCAAAAAATCCCCATCTACGGTTGGCCTGAAGGGAAAATTCAGAAGGAGGCCACCTTTGAGGATCATAGACATTTCATGCCAAATAAATTCAGACACATTTTTTGTTTCCAGGCAATGCAGTATGCTGGTATTGCTGTCCTCGGAGCAACCTAGCAAATGAGCAAATTCCAGCGATAACCGTTTGGCTTCCTCAGGAGACCTCCAAGACGAGAAAGCATTGGCTGCTCCACTCTGGATCACCGCTTGGGCAAAAAGCTCCTGGCTTTTTGACACAAGAAGATGGAAATTCACAGAAGCTCCTCCAGCACTGTGGCCAACAATGGTAACCCGAGAAGGGTCTCCCCCAAAGGCAGCTGCATTCTCTTTTATCCACTTCAGGGCCAGCTGTTGGTCCCATAAACCTAGGTTCCCTGGAGCAGCTTTTGGCAAGTAAAGAAAGCCTAGGGCTCCCAGGCGATAATTGATGGAGACCACAATGACATTCTCAGTGGCAGCTAAGGAGGCCCCATTGTATATGTCCAGAGAAGATGAGCCCATGAAATATCCCCCTCCGTGTATCCAGAACAAAACAGGCACTGGTGAAGAAGGTTGTGGGTGCGGCACCCAGATGTTGAGGGAAAGGCAATCTTCTGACAGTGGTGTTTTAGGAGTAATTGTCTCTGCTTCAGGGAGATCCCGGAAAATAAATTGAGGACAGGAATTGCCAAAGCTGGTGGCCTCGAAAGTTTGAGTCCATGGCTGATGTGGAAGAGGTTTCTGGAAGCGCAACTTCCCCAGGGGAGGCTCGGCATAAGGAATGCCTAGATAGGCTGTCACAGATCCAGGGCCAGTCAGGAACTGCTTGCCTTTAATAGGGCCACTGCTGGTTATGACCACCGTGTCCCCATTAGAAGCAGAACTGGAGGCTAATGGAAAGAGGAGGAGGAGGAGGAGGAGGCAGCACCGGAGAGAAGGGCATAGCTGACAAAGCATTGCAACAGTAGGAAGAGTGGATGGACCTGGAAAAAGTTACAAACAATATGAGATTATTCCTCTTAATGTATAAGCCCACCTTATGCTAATTCATCATTGATTTATATGTGATAAATGTGATAAATAAATAAATATTATTTTTATTTCTCACCTTTATAAGTCCACCCATCTCGCAAAAAGTGAGTCTAGGTGGCACACAACCATCAATAAAAATAAATGAAACGATTTTCACAGTGGAGAAAGTCCTTTCACACCTGAATGTTAACCTTGATTTGTCTGAGATTCCCTTTTCCTGCCACAGTTGCTCAACCAACTAAAAGGTTAATCAACTTTGGGTCTTTCCCCTCTTAAACCTGCCCACTGTACAGAGAATCGTTGACTTATAACCCACAATTAGGCCCAAAATGGCTGCAGCCCACTACCGGGCCTTGAGCCTTTCA